CAAGTGACCACTTGTACAGAACCGTTGCTGTACATTTAGGGCTAAATGTAGAAAAACCAAGCACCTGCACGGCGCCCAGAACTGCATGTCCGTTCTGTCCAGAACATGATTCAGACCTTGGCTCAATAAAAATTTTACTCACCGGAATTTTTATTCACTACCTTTGCCCTAGACAACATGAGCAGTTTACCCTTGCAGTGCGGGAGGTAGCCCCACTGCAAGGGCTAGTTTAGTCCATCTTTAAAGTCCACCTGTTAGAATAATATGTGGGCTGCCCTTGCTGACCACCTCCCTGAAAATGCTAGTTGCCTGGCTGTGTTTGGCATTGCAGACTTGGAGCAAGAATTCAGCCAGCGAGTCACAGAAAGTCAGAATTCCTCATCCCTATACAGTAGTTGTTTCTGATAACTGAATCAAATGATTGATGCCAAAGCATCAGAATGACAGCCAGGCAATTAGAAAGGCAGCTTCCATATTTCCCTCATGACAGTTGTACTTGAAATGCGTGAAAGTTAACCCATCCTTCCTGTGCAAGGTTACAGTCATTTATGGAACATTTTCATTAGACCCCTTCACTCTTATTTGCCAGTAATCTGATGATCTGGATATACATTTGCTCACCAGTTTACAATGCAGAAGCGATATACACAAACATGGCCATTACACCTCATTCCTGCCTCTACAAAAAAAGAAGCATTTACACTTTGATACATCAGGCTGAGATACCCAGAGCCACCATGTAGATTCCAAATTGCTATGGAAGATTGAGTCTGATTGGTGATGCAATAAACGGTAATTTCTCGGCAACTGAAAAGCATCCAGTGAGCTGCCAATTTTCTCCGGTAAAAACACCCAACTCTACTAAAGTCAGAAAGGTCACTTAATCTGAGTTCTGTATAGTTCAGGCCCAGTTTGTTCCAGAATAGATATGCGGTCAGGTAGACATTGCACTAACGGCCTCTATTTTCATATTCTTACTTCTACTTTCCTATTCACAGCGGTTGTACTCGGTGTCTAAATAGATCCAGTCCAACAGGTACCAGCGTTAGACCCAGTGAACTGGGCACACAGTAACAGACTCAGTAACCCCTCTCTTCCTCTGCAATACACATCTGTGAGGAGGGGATGTGGCCGTTACTCCTCTGTGCCAGCATAGATCAGTGAAGAGAAGGACAGGAAGCGGAGAAAAGGGTATTTAAAAGCATTGACAAGCAAAAATCTGGCACAATTCAAATTGTGGGAGTAGAAGAATATATAATATAAAGGTGTGAGGCTTCAGTTGAGGTTGAACTAGCTTGTGTTACTTTTAGGCATCCTAAGGTTTTGTTTATACAGCATTACAAGGTGGTAGTATCAGAATTAGGGATGCACTGAAATTTTGGCCACCAAAACATTTTGGGCGGAAATGATACTATGGGCAAAATGCCATTAGTACAAAAACGGCCAAAAATGAGGCGCATCCCCAGCTTCTCCCCTGGGCACTGGCGGCAAGCTGCGGTCTGTGTCCCCTCCAATCCCTGCTACGTTTCCCCATCTGTGTCAATACAGGCAGCGGGGATCGGAGGGGACACAGAGCCAATCCAATTGCCGGCGCCCAGCAGAGAGAAGAGACCGGTCAGGAGGCCGTGCGGGGAGGAGAACTCGCCTCCGGTGATGGGCTGGAGCAGTCAGAATGGAGAGCGGAGCACAAACTCTGAGCAATCAATCACTCACAGGGTTATTCACAAAAGGGTGAAGAGTTTGGAGAAGGCAACAACCTAGGACAACATGGCTGACCTTGAAAGTGAGCTGAAATGGAAAATTTCTCCAAATCAGCTATGCTGTCCTAGATAGTTCACTTCTCCTGCCTTCTCCAAACTCATCACCCTTTTGTGGATAACCCTGTCAGTGTTTGTAAATAACTGATGACATAGTGTTTACTCAGTTGAGTCAACAGTAAAATAAAAATAATTTTAAAAAGGTTGGGAGAAAAGTCAGTTTAAGTTTTGGTGTAAAAATGTAATTTCGGTGCATCCCTAATCAGAATTATTGGTTAAGTTTTATCATTATGCCTTTTTTAAATGTAGGATTTTGAAGATGATTTCCTTGATGTGCATGGTTGTATTCAAGTTCACTTGTAAGGTGGGTCATGTGAACTTGTTCAAAGTTAGCAGATGTAGAAAAACAAAGAAGGAATTCTTTCTAAGCCAAATAAAGACTATAATAAACTTGCTTTCATTTTCAATGCAGTGCGAGGCATCAAACCGATTTGGCATAATTTTTTATTTTGTTATATTGCAGCCATTTTTATATTGCTCTCCATCATTGTTAATTTTCCAACGTATATGTTGACTTTCTTATTGGGGCCTTCCTATTTTCTAAACATTTTTCAATTTTAATTTTCCCATTCAAGGTCAGCAGCAAGGAAGTGACGGTGTCAAAGTACAGCAAGCTACCATAGCTTCCATTGCTGTTGGGGGGCTTACCAATGCAACCATTGGTGCTGTCAGTCCTGATCAAATATCACAAGTGCAGCTTCAACAGTCTCAGCTATCATCGGATCAAGAGGTGCAGACTGGCAAGAGACTAAGACGAGTTGCATGTTCTTGTCCTAACTGTAGAGAAGGGGAAGGAAGGTGAGCCTTTTACTGGATCTATAGAGATTTTGGACAAAGGTAATTACTGTCAAATGTGTACATTTAAGGTGCCTCCCAAAGCCAGTCAGTCTAAGGGTTGACAGTGAATGTAGTGCAAAAAATATACCTTGTATATTAATTATATTATTTCCGCATCTAAGAACCTGTGTACTCCAGAAGAAAAGAAAGTCCTTGGGTGCTCACCAAGGTCAGTATTTTGATTAAATGAGAATTATGAGGCGAGTGATTTTCACTGACTCATAATCTGAGCCGACCTGTGACAATGAAACTGTCACAGGTCGGCTCGGTAGATCGGGAAGTGAGCGAACACATACCGGCGCTCGCTCACTTCTCGATCTATCCGTGCAGAGAGCCGTGACTGTCACTCACGGCTCCCTGCAGATATTCCTCCTCCCCTGTCCGATCCTCCACCGCTGACTGGCAAAACGGACGGGGGAGGAGGCGGTACAGCTGCCTCTAGATAGGCAGAGCCAGCTGTCACTCACGCAGCTGGGGGGGATCCAGACAGAATTGTTGGGATCCGTTCCGGCTGCGGCGTCTCAGTATACCGTGAGCTGTAGCTCGCAGTATACTGAGCTTTGGGTGATGGGAGGATGCTAGTTTGCGTCTTCCTGTTACCTTAGGAGAACTATGGGGAAAAGCCCTAACCCCATAGTTCTCCTTTTAAGAGACAGAAAACAAAAGCTTTGTAAGCACTTTTAAAGGCAAAGTCCACCTATTGCAAACAGGTAGTAAATGCACCAACACTGATATGATAAAAAATGTGCATTTGCTGCATTTTTGCATTAAGGCCTGCAGAGCATCAGTGCATCATGAGTGCAGTGTACAGGCTTTTGCAAAGCTTTCCACAGTTTCCAATCCATACAAAGCTTCAGACTTGGCTAGGGAAAGTGCTGCTGAACTACAGCAATGATGGAGGAAAGGCCCCCAGCACGCTTCCTACAAGTCCCATCCTTTGCGGTAGCAGATGGGACTAGTAGTAAATGTAAAAATTAACAAACCTCAACGCCATGGCTGTAAGGGCAGAGCCATGCACACCTGCACTTAAATAACAACAGATTTCCCCTGAAGCATGCACCCCATGATTTCGGTAAGGCAAGGGTGGTCAGGAGATACAAGTTTTTTGGGGGATGGGATATGCAACCATATTTCATGTTTCAACCTAAATATGGGTGTTACATTGAACATGGTATAAAAGGTGGACTGACTCACAGGCTTGGATCTTAAGTTATATTTCCCCAATCATCTTCCAGGACAGCAACCTGAGATGATTGGTTCCACCTTCTACAGGAAACACAATTAGCAAAACAGTTAAAAAAAGGCCAGATCAATTATATCTTCCCAAAGTCTCATCCCAGTTTCATAGGTCTCAGGATATTATCTTGCCTTCCTTTTGTGCTGATCCGAAAGATCAGAGGGAGATGGTATTTCACACTCTGGATGTTAGACGTTGTCTCATTGAATACCTGGAGGCAACTAGGCATTTTAGAAAATCTAGTCATTTGTTTGTGTTGTTCTTTGGCCCACGTAAGGGGTAGCAGGCCTCTAAGGCATCTATTGCCAGGTGGATTAGACAGGTGATTGTCTGCATCTATAAGTCGGAGGGAAAGGAGTTACCCCTTTCAGTTAAGGCCCATTCAACCAGGTCATTGTCCACTTCATGGGCAGAAAGAGCTGGGGCATCAGTGGAGCAGATCTGCAGGGCAGCTATCTGGTCAAAGCAGGACACTTTCATCAAACACTACCGAATTGAAGTCCTGTCCCAGCAAGATCTGGCCTTTGGCAGAAAGGTGCTTCAAGCAATTGTCCCGCCCTAGAGAGGTAGGCTTGTATTTTGTGTACTTGTTTATCCTCTCAGGTTGCTGTCCTGGAAGATGATTGGGGAAATGTTCCGTTAGACTTACCGGTAACGGTATTTCTAGGAATCTTCCAGGACAGCAAGCCTACTTCCCACCCGGAATGATGTATGGTATGTTATTTATTGTTGGGTTGTCCCCTCGTTTACTGGGGTGGTAGTCTACTTTTATCACAACTGAGGTACGAGGGGAAGGGGAGGGGCTTTTAACTGTTTTGCTAATTGTGTTTCCTGTAGAAGGTGGAACCAATCATCTCTCAGGTTGCTGTCCTGGAAGATTCCTAGAAATACCGTTACCGGTAAGTCTAACGGAACATTTGACTGTGTTATCCGATTAACCGATTAATCGAACTTAATAATCGTCTAACTTATCGATTTTGAAAATAATCGTTAGCTGCAGCTCTAATTCAGGGGATCCTAAAACTTCAGAAATAATTGCTTGGAGTATCTGGGTCTGGTCTTGGATATGCCTCCAACCATAGTCTTCTTTCCACAAATGAAACTTCAGATTCTCTGCTCTCGGGTTCAAATCCCTCAGTTCCAGAAGCAGTCTGATAAAGATGGAGGGCATTCATTGATCCTCATTGCTCTGGAGTGGCCCTGGCAAATGTGGTATGCCAACCTGTGGGATTCAGGGCTTTCTCCCTTTGTGAGACAAATTCTGAAGCAGTTCAAATTTGCTGCTGTTTACGTTGGGAACGCTAGTGATTGTTTGCTGTGTTGCCCATCCCTCAGTTGGACTGCTTTTGGACATCGTGAGGGTTTTAACACTTCCTGTGTCCCTCCAATAAATGAGAAAGAAAATAGTATTTTTGTATTTGCTGTAAAATTCTTTTTTTGGAGACCGCTTAGGGACACAGGTCCCACCGCTCTGTGTTTTTATGTTCATGCTCTCGGCACTGCTATGTTACAAAACTGAGGCATACTGATGGTAGAAGAGATTATACCCTGGGTTGGCTTAGGCTACAGGTTTTTTGTTTGCCAGTGTCCACTCGTCCTGTAGGCGGCAGTATAAGCTGAAGGTTAAGACTACATGGGTCATACAATGTACTCCAAGAAAAGGAATTTACAGTGACAAAAATCCTATGTATTGTGCATTCAAGGCATACCTCTGGTTAAATATGTCACAGTTGCCAGTGTGCTTATGTCAACTCTCAACAGACCTTTTAATGGCTGTTGTCGTAGCTGATCACATGTGCAGCACCATGGCAACTACAGATCTAAACAGAGGTTAAGATGGTGCTGTTTAATGCTGTAAAGTATAGGTGGGTATGTAATATGGTACTGAAAGGCAGAGACATGAGCATGATGGCAGTAAAAATGCTGTTGGAATTTTTTTATATCAAAAATAGTGACCGGCCACCCATTACTCTTGTGCTCTGGATTAAAAGAGCTGATGTAAGCTAACTAGTTGTGTAGGGAAACAGATGGATAAAAATCAGCCAATGATGCATAGTGGTGCCTGACTTGTAATGTCAAAGTGCGGACCTTGCCAAATATGTCAGACTGGAGATATCATGGCTTATTTCAGTAACTTGACTTCTTCTTGGATATTCATAAGTAGATATATTCCACTCTGGTGGCAGTAAATTCTTCAGACTGTCATCAACAGCAGAGTACTTGGCTCACACCAGTAGAGTAATATTTTAAAGTCACTAGATATCTGTACCTCATGACAGCCATTTTCCACGTAGGCATATTATGCTTCAGACCACAAGGCTCAGAGAGTCTGGGAATGATTCCAAGAACCTGACAGTGCATTTAAGTTAATGTAGTATAATTTAGATCTCCCACATCTCAATCCAATCAAGCTTGTGTGGTTAGTAGAATAAGGTATCCAGAGTGGAGATAATTTGTAGCACCAGTGGTTTACAATTGAAGAGGACCAGATAATCCCTGCCAGGTTTAGAGCCCTACTTGTCTGGCTATACACAGTAGGATAGTCATTATTCATTTGTAAAAATATTGCAGACAAGTATGGAACAGGTGGTCTTTTCTTGAACAATCAGTCTGCTGAAATCGTTAGATTGCCCAGATATCACATCATGGCTGTTTTTAAAGGGGGTCAACTTACATGTGTGCACTCTTTTATGAGAGTACATGTAAATGTATGTGCTGTGACTGGCATGTTGTGGTCTTTTTGGGGTTTTCGTCTTCTGGCGGAAGGGGTCTTACAGTGGCAGGCCCCAAAGGCATGAGCTAATAATCTGGCTACAAGTCAATGGTTATTCCTTCTTTAAAGTTCAAATCCAGACATTTTTTTTTTTTTTACGCTAACGTCAAGAGAAACACAAGTCATTATAATAGCTAACCGTTAGACCCACGCTCAGATTTTTTAAGTTGCGGTCTTTGCCCCCACAGCAGTAACTTCCCCTTATTTCCTATCTCAGCGATACTTCGCATTTAGGATGTGACAGGATATTACTGGAACAGGAAGTAGATTCAGATGTTTAGTATTGTTGGGATTCGCTGTTCCATTCAGCATGGCGGGCTATCTTGGACCTTTAGTCTTTTCTTTTGTGGGGTGATGTGGGAAGTCCCACTCTCTGTATCTTTTCTTCAGGTTTTCAGACAAGATAGCACCACCAGCAGTTTATATTCTGGAAAAGTCTGATGATAGAGGTTTGATTCATCACAATTGTCATCCTCTTCAGTAAACATGTTTGTCTTCTTCTTTTACCAGAGCAAACAGTGAACCGGGAAAGAAAAAACAGCACATATGTCACATTGAAGGATGTGGAAAAGTATATGGGAAGACATCCCATCTCCGAGCACATCTTCGTTGGCACACTGGAGAAAGACCTTTTGTATGCAACTGGATCTTCTGCGGCAAGAGGTTTACCAGAAGTGATGAGTTACAGAGGCACAGAAGAACCCACACAGGTAACTTGGATTATTCTTTTCTTTATTCCAAAGTACACAGAACCGGTACTAGTGCGTTCCTCTAGTTTCATCCTGGAAGACTAGTGTAGCTAGCTGCCCTGATCAATGAATCCCTGCAGGTGTATCTTTGTTTCCTCTCAATGCCCTTGAGGAAAGATATATAGGATTAAACACACAACGACAGGCTATTGCTAGGTGATAAGTGGACAAATGCAATATTAGGAAATGAGAGAGCTCACCAAGCCATTATTTAGCATGTAGACCGTTTCATGTAACTTGGGTATTTTGAGAAAAAGGTTTAATCCAGTACTTGGTCAGGCTAATGAGCTTGACGGCCAGATGAGAGTGTGTATTTTTTTCTGCGGACTCCTTGAATACAATGCAATGATATTTTATCTCAACTGCTGTTGGGCCAAATCTTCTCTGCCTAAAACTCTGGCCCTCTTAATCCTGTCTTGGTGAGAAGTTGAGATCCCAGGTACAGCTTGGGACTAGGATCCATGTGACACCACAGGAATCAATATGAAGACTAACTCAGGTGTGTTGCCACAAGGTTCGTACAATGCATTTACAAGGAGGGGAGAGCAGAGAGATGACCTCCTCTGGATACTGGCACGCCTTCATTTGTCCATTTACAGGCTGGGGGTTGGTTATTGGACCGGGCTATATTGGTTAACTTCAGTTCAGTCTACTGGGAGTTCACAGGCTTGGCTATGCTGACTGAAAAGAATTACAAATCCTTTAGCTGGTAAACCAGTCCAATAATTGTATTTACCCATTGGCCTGGAGCTCTGCTTTAATTCATTGTTGCTGTAAAATTTTACTGTATTTTATTTCTTAGGTGAGAAGAGGTTTGAGTGTCCAGAATGTTCCAAAAGGTTCATGAGGAGCGACCATCTCTCAAAACATGTCAAAACCCACCAAAACAAAAAGGGAGGTGGAACAGCACTGGCAATCGTAACATCAGGAGACCTGGACGCCTCAGTCACTGGAGTCCTTGGCTCCCCAAGAATTGTTACTGTGGCAGCCATCTCCCAAGATTCAAACCCAGCCACCCCAACAGTTTCTACAAACATCGATGTTCTAGAAGGTGACAAGGACTTGTACCGCTGCACTTAATCATGTCCTTTATAGAATTGTGATCTGGTCTGTACATTTTGTTTTTCTTTTCAAGGAAATATTTTTTTAAGTTATTCATCCCAATAACAGCAGGATGAAGCTGATATATACTAAACTGTGAAGAAGAATACACATTTTTTTCTAATATTAGGCAATTTAAATCTGAAAAACAGAGATATTTTACCTGTATCATAAATTCTGCATTTTGTAAAAGCTTCTAAATTTTAACGCTTTCTCATTCCTGTTAGCCCTTCTGAAAACGACCACTGTTTATAATAGTAAAAATATTGATAGACTCAGGGCCATTAATATTACAAACCTGGTTTGTAAAAAGGCCATACAATCAGTTTATTTGTGGTAGCATAAAGATTCTGCAGTCACCTTTACAAAGATGCGATTTTTGTATTGAGACCTGCTTGTAAAATGTGGGGAAAATAGTTATTTATATAAATTTAATGCTATCCTTATGCAAGCTGCATAGAGTTTCATACCACCCAAGACAGTGAACCTGCTCTAAGCATTTTTTAAATAGCGTTTTTGTAGATAAGCATTATTAAAAACCAACATGTACAAACCGCGACAGTCAAGCCTTTCCACATTCCACGCTCCTCCTATATATATTTTTATTATCATTTTTATATTTACTGCTTTGGAAAGTCAGTATATACCACATACGTTTTAGACTTTTAATATGCAAAGCTGATGTAGGATTCACATTTCATCAGAGGAATGTACTAAGTTATATGTTTTCATCAAGTAAGTTAACAAAATGGCTATAAAAATTGTATAGCTCATGGCTAGTTCGAGGAGGTGAGATATTACAAAAAGTAATTTTGCAGCTTTTTACAGTTTCAAGAAGCACAACCGATGTATGTAAATTTTACTTTTTCCCCTGTAATCTAGTTTACATTTTGTAGTCACGTTTGGTTTCAGAGTAGATTGATATTGACATTAAATTATCATTTCAGTACAGGGTTGATGCTAGTGGGTTGAATGATCAACCACCATCTTATATCTCAATGTTCACCATACACGTTGCAGTCTGATTGTACATTCTCCTTTTAGCTCTACCAACAACTGTGTAATGTAAGGGTCTTAATTAGGGATGCACCGATACCGATACTAGTATCGGTATCGGTGGCGCTACCGAGTATTTGGGTGAGTACTCGTACTCGCCCAAATGCTCCGATACCTAGCACGAGTACTTCCTGTGACAGGAAACTGCTCCATGCTCTCTTGTCACTTGAAGCCGGGTAGCGTGACAGGAAGCCGGGTAGCGTGCAATGACGAGCTGCCCGGCTTCCCGATTGGTCAGGAAGCTAGCAAATTCCGAACCCGGGCGCCGTGTAATCACTCAGCGCCCGGCATTCTGATTGGTCGGGAAGCCGGCGTCATGCTGCCTTGTCATCTCATGATTCATAATATTAAGAAAGTGACCTTAAAGCATTAGTTTGTATTGCTTTAGAAAAAAATTGACCTGTCCCTTTAAGAAAAAGTATCGGTAATTGGTATCTGCGAGTACTTGATCAAAAGTATCGGTTCTCGTACTCGGTCTTAAAAAAGTGGTATCGGTGCATCCCTAGTCTTAATGATTGGATACAAATCATTTTGGTAAATGGAAAGTTGACTGTACAATCGGATTGCAAGAGGCATGGCCAGCTTTAGGCATCTCTGCACTGTGTTCTCAGCTCTGCCTACCTGCTGAGATACTCCCTGTAGATATAAGAATCTAGTGGTTGATCTATCCTTCTTTAATGGATATTAGTTTAACACGGACTTTCATTTATCACTTTCAAAGTAATGGATCGCGTGAGCAGAGGAAGATATATGTTGTATGAAAATGAAAGATTTTTTTTTTCTTCTTTTAAACCCCTTCCCTTTTATATCTATATATGTAAAGTAAATGTGTCAGCTTTTTGGGCCGAGAAATGATGCCACTTCTGACACTGCGTGTGTGTATGCGCGTTTGACAGCGTGTATGTATATATGTATATACAATATATATACACATGCATATTAATTGTTATTTTAATTATTGTAATAGAAGTACAGTTTATGGTAAAAGGACAATGCTATTGGTCAAAGCTCCACAAGAATTCAGTATTTATTTTCATTCAGTCTAAATCAAATCCTTTTTCACATTGTGTTTAGTAATAATTCCACTCATGTGTATATAGGAAAGGGCATTGTATTTTGAAAATATTTTACGTTCATATTAGCCAGAGGTGTATATGCGTATAAACTATTTACACATGTACCCCAATGTCTAAAACGTGTAGTTTTGCTTAAACGTTTTTTGTTTTGTTCATTTGAGCACTTACTGTAGATGTACGTGTGTTTGTGTGCCTGTGTTCCTTTTATAACTAGCTAACGTGTGACATTAGGTTAGTGAGGTGTTTGTACTCATGCACAGTGGCTCCTTCCTAATACTCATTGCTATTATTTATACATTGCATTCTAACCTTTTTTTTCCCCTTTAAAACCAAAACGACCACAATCCCTAAATGATGCAAGACTGAAAATATTCAAATATTAGCCATTTCATTTCATTTTATTATGCTTATAACAGTTGTGTATCAGTGTTATCCCATATGCAGATCAGTAGCTCATGAAGCACAAGAGGGCTTCCCTGCTGTATATAGGTGCACTGTAATTGAACACAAGCGGTGAATTATATTTTAGTGGGATTCTGGTGCGCATATAGTGTAGGGGAAAGAAAAGGAGGTTTGAATTTTTTTGACCAATTTCTTAAATTACTGCATCTAGTAATTTTTAATAACATTAAGTTACCATATGGCTTGTGTAGCACCTATATACATCAATTGTTAGCAAAAGTGAGACAGTTTTTTCTTTTAAGGTTACATTGCACATGGAATTAAGAATGAGGTCCAAAACTTTAAAGTGACACTAAACTCAGGAGTTGAACCTTAAAACTTCATTCAAGTACCTTAACTATTAACAAAAATATATTTTATTTGAGTAATCACCTCTGAATTGGTGCTGACACTGTCCTTCCTTCTGGAGGGTGGCTACTTTTATTCCCCATGGTCCCTGTGTGGGTTGTATTAGCCACCACTCCGAGCTCGCTCCTCTGATGGACTACAATCTCAAAACAAACTAGTAATCTAGACATGAGATTGTAGTCCATCACGGGAATCAGCTCGGAGCAGTGACTACTGTACAGCACACACAGGGACCATGGGGAACAAAAGTAGCCACCCTCCAGAAGGAAGGACAGTGTCAGCATGAATTCAGAGATGATTTAAGGATCTATAGCCGAGTGATACACAAATAAGATAAATTTTTTGTTGATAGTTAAGGTACTTGAATGCATTGTTAAGATTTAACTCCTGAGTTTAGTGTCACTTTAAATTTGACCTAGTACCTCCTGCCTGTGCATAAAATAGCTCTACTTGGCTTACCCAGAGCCAAAACATTTCACTAATGCAGTTGCATTAGATTTGGGCACCCGCTTGAAGCTGAGGACAATGTCTGGGGTGAGTAGCCATTATTTTTGCTAAGCCAGACGCTGTGTCCAGCTCAGTGGCAGAATCCCATAAGAGCTAGTACTACAGGTAGTAAATTCTTCATGCATCCCAGACAGTAAATACTCACTGTTTTACGGATCACAAGTGCTTGGTTTTATTTAAAGGGACCTGTCTCACCACCTGTCTGTGCCACTCAGCTTCACTCTCAGATGAATGCTATGTTCTTCAAGAAAGTGTCTGTTGTCTTGCACCCTGCTGCTCGCTGTGGTTTATTCCATTGATGTCCATGTCGCTACTGTGTCCTGTTGTGACGTAGGGCCTGCAGGTAAAGGGCATCTAACAATTTTAGACATGATACATACTGAGGATCGTTTAATACGTTTTAGCTTTTCAAGAGAGTAATGATTGACATTGCAGGCAGTGAGACAAGTAAAGTTTTTTTTTTTTGTTTTTTTTTGTTTGTTTTTTTTAGCAACGGAGACACTTTATTTTTTGGGACAGGATCAGTATTGGGGGGTTATTTTATTTATTTATATTTCACATTAAATATGCACTTATCTATTATATTAATTTGTACTTGTCCCAGCTTCTGAAAAATACCAGTATGATGTTTCATCGGCAAGGACTCCTGTTTCCAGCACAAGAACAGTACATCAGCTCCATGAATATAGATTGTTTATTCAGATCTGTCCTGTGCAGGTCTCCTCTATAACACCTAATGGTGGCTGAGAGCAGCTTGTTTCCAGCAATGACGGATACAAAAACGTAGGCCTTAGTGCTGGAAGCAGGACTTCTTTTCATTCAAAGTAACTTGGCATAATAACTTTTTTTTCATATTCCACAGGGCGAAGTATAACGTATAATAAGTATTGTGCTTTAATTCTTCCATTGATAAAAGTAGTAAATCTAGGCTGTCTATATGTCTACAACAAAAGGCAGCCAGTCGGGGTTCACCTTTCATCAGATTAGAACATAACATAGGCCTGCATCAATCACTTACAAGACTGAACTTTGTTTCACACGGAAACCTTTTGCTAAATGAACCACAATTCACTTATGGGAGCTGCCATTGTTGTCATCTTTTCAAAGGTGCAGCTTACAGCAGTTTCATCCCAATTCTAGCTTTACTACATAGTATGCTAGACAGAACTTCAGACTTTATTGGTTGCATGCTTATTCCAGGGCAGTAGTGAGGGTTTGGAGCTTTTGCCACTCTTTAAAGGCATCCCAGGAACCCTAAACCAAGGATGCTCTAATATGCCAATTTGTAAGGGATGACTTGTCACCTAGAACTTCCTATTGGTTCTTCAAGCTATAGGTGGCCCTAATGATCAGTAGGGCGCACTGGAAGAGGGCCAACCCTAGACTGATTTTGGAAAAAGTCAATAGAATGCATCAGACTTAACGACACCTGGGGTGCTCCTGAAGGGGATAAAAAGTACACGCATGCACCCATGAGTGAGAGCATACGGCTCCATTCACACCTAAGCGGCTCACCGCGTGTATTCGGCTGTACGGATACGCACGGAGCCGCTCCAAACACAAAAAGCAATGCACTTCAATGTGCATCGTTCACATCATTGCAGGGGCCGCGCGGCACGAAAAAAACGCACGACCCCCGAAATAGTGCAAGCGAGATAATCCAGCAGATTCCGCACGTTCGTGGCTATTTAATAGCCGCAAATGAGTGGCATTCGCGCGGATGAAAAAAAAAATAGCGTTTTCGTCCAAAACAGTCTTTTGCTCGGAAAACCGTGCGGGGAACCGCAAACGCTATGTGTGAATGCAGCCTTACACTTGGGCACTTTATGGGGAAAAAACAGGTTTAATTTAGTTCAGTCAAATTTAATTTGCTTCAAACTTTTTTGAATGACTGAAAAAGATTTTGTATGCCAGTGATACTTATTTTCAAGTTGGTTTAGCAGACTTTCATTGTTCGGAAGATCTTTTTGTATTCATTTCACTTGTGCATATATTATAATGCATAACGATTGAGCCAATGGATTATTTAATCAGGTATTTCATATAAAGTAAAGAGACATTTTATGATTAACATTTGAACCTCCACTCTACCAAAAGATAAAATATGTTTTAACAAATGCTTAAATAATTAAGACTTCTTCTAAAAAGCTGAAGTTGTCTTTACTGCTGATTAAGCCTATGTCTTGCAGCGTCTTGTGAAAAAGAAAATGTCATCCGCCGCTTTCATTGCCACTGTTTTATTAAAATAAGTTTATGTAATTGTATATTTATCATGTTTAGAATTTCAGTGTTAGATTTATTTTTTATAGAGTATTTGCATAGTAGACACGTGGAAGTTTTTGCAGATTGCTTTAGAAGTTTCAATTATTTATCTCTTTTTCTGATGTAGAATGAAAGTTTTTAGTTTGTCAGATGTGAGAATGCATGCTAGGTGCATCTTTTCAATTTTAGGGCACT